TGAGGTGCCCTGGGAGCCAGGTGCATGCGTGTGTGTGTGCCACTGTGACATCCATACTGGGTGCATGTGCATACATGCATGAACGTGTGCTCATGTGTGTATGCGCAATGACCTGTGCCAGCAGCTGCACTGGGGCTACAGCACTGAGGATTCATATGTCCAGGTGAAAAAAACTGGACATTAGGATTTGGTATTTGAGCCCAGCTGCTGGAGGGATCCACCCAATGTATATGCATATATATATACATAATAATTACTGGACCTCTAGTCTGATTAGCCAGAGAGGTGAGGACCATGAGGCCATCAGGGCTGTTTGTGATGGTGTGTGGTGTGGGCACTGAGTACCTCTGTGCTGATGATGTGTGTGGCTTGCAATTGACTGTGTTTGTGTGTTTTGCACTGCTATCCACGTCTGCACGTGGCTGGGGAAACATGCTCAGCCTCACTACTGATTGGACCTGGGGCATGGAGCTGTGCAGCCTCACCTCTACAAGTCTACTGGATTAGGCTGCCCTAACATTGCTCTCCCAGCCTGATCCGTGGCTGTGTAGCTCTCGTGCCAGAGCTGCCCTGAGCCAGAGCCACACAGACCCAGAGGAGAGCGAGCCCATGGGGTCTCCAGGGAATGCATGTTCCTTCACTATCACCTATATATCACTCATTTGAATATTTCTGCACCCAATTAAATGCAGAGTTTTCGTATGTCCCTTGTGAGTCAGACAGACCTGTCCCAATATGAACTTAGCACAGCAGCTTTCCTTCTGCTGCCCAAACACCTGTCTGTTCTCTACATCTGCACTGGTTTCTGGTCCAGCTTCCATCGTATCTGCATCTTCCAAATATTCCTCAGATTCTTCTAGGAACCAAGTTCAGAGGAAAACAGCTGTAGAGAGGAACAAGGAATCTTGCTTGCTTTGCACTAATTCTCTTAAATGTACTTATCCCAGTATTCCTTTTGAGAACAGTATTTCTCATGTTTTCAGAGACTGGATATTAGAGGACTGAGTCTAAATGCGATTTATGCTCTAAACACAACATACAGGTAGGAAAGGGCATTAATTGAAATTTTAAATCTACAGGAAAAAAAAAAAGTAGATGAACTTGGGAAGTATATGCTTTAATGTAAAAACAGACATGAATGTATTAAAAAAAATTAATTTTAACATTTGGGAATATCCAGATTTTTAGAATAGGTGTTATACAAGTAATATTATGAAAGTGGTGCATGGATAGAAGGAAAATTCTAATTTAATTTTCACTTTTCTGAATTCTGGAAATATATTTATTATTTTTGCCCCATTCAGCCCTAAACATATTCCTGAAATTTCACATAATATCATTAATGCTTAAATTTTCCAGATCTTGTTTTTTCTGTTATTCTTATTTTTGCCTTTGTTCTGCATAAGGACAGAAATACCAAAAAGGGGTTGTTTTACATAATCATACCCCTGTTCACATCTTTCCTATTTTTCTATGACCATTCAGCCTAAAAGATAGAACATAGGATTACTCAGTGAAAGCCCTGCAGCCATGAGCTCCATCTCTTTGTAACCTTCTAAGTACTATTTGTATAAAGACAATAAAAAAGTCTTGTTCCTTTATAAGGATGACTGTAAGTAGTTTGATCTCTGAAAAGAATAGCAAAGATTTTTTTTCTCCGGCTCGTGAAAATGACTCAGTATGAGATTTTGATCTCAATATTGTAAATTTGATATCCTGTGGATCTCCTCTTCATCTCATCTATTGAGCTGCTTGTTGTATTACATCTTTCAAGCTTAACAGGTGATTGATTAAGAAGCCTCATTTTCTGCTTGCTTTTCTATATGATTATTCTGTGCTTAAATGTTTCAAGCTCATTATCAACCAGACTCATTGCTGTAGGAGAGTTCACTTAAACTGCTTCTGTATTTTAGGTACGAACTGCTGGAATGTAAAAAACTCTTAATCTCTTAGTATGAACCCCTAATCATTGTGTACTGACATAGAGGGGTGTTTAGGATATATCTCAAATATGTTGGGTTCCTCTAATGACAAAAAAGTTACCAACACACAAAATGGAGTTGGCATCTACTTCATTCCATATCTGAACATCTGTAATTTTCTTACATGTGTCTGGGCATGGTTCTTCTTTCTGAAACTGCCAGCTCACCTGTCTGTCGCAGTCATGAGATTGGAGTAGTTAGTAACCTTGGTTTTTTCTTTACACTCTGGTCGAGGCCTGGAGATTTTGTATTGCTTCCTCAAAGTCTTTCTTTGCTCCAGCCTCAATTTGGTGGAGAAACCTGTTCTTCCATCTCTGCTACCTTTCAATTTAAATGGAATTTTACTATTTGCCTGCATAATTGCTCTCAGACACATTGCTCGACCTGATTTGCTGCTACAAACGCTTCCTCTCCAATGTTACTACTACTTGTCATTTTCACTTTGCTTCCAGAAGGAATAGCTTTAGACTGATCTGGATTTTCATGTAATAGTGCTTATTTCTGACAATATCCAGTCCTTACTGACCAAGGGAACACAGGGACAGCATTTTCAAGTCAGAAAGCACTTGGAGTGTTCTTCTGATGGGCTGCAGAGTGGCTTTTTGCAGGCAGGGGCAATGGAGGGTGGAAATCAGCTTCTCCAAATGGAATTGTCCTTACTCTACACAGCCCTGCTGGAGGTTGAAGGCTAGGCCAGCCTCCTCAAATGCTTTAGCATGGAATATGGTGTAAACATCTGGACATTTAGTTGAGATCCCTTTTATCACATGGAGACTTGGCACATTAGTCAAGGCATTTTCTTTGTCCTGTTCATGCAGAAAAGGCAGAACTTTGTTGGCTGCTGCATGGCCATACGAAATATAATTGCAAGAGATTTCCCCTCTTGATTTCTATATTCTGTGTTTTATTAATTTGGAATTTCACAATTGGAAAAGTGAGAAATGCCTCTTAAATAAAATTGAGGATTACTAAGAAAATAGTAGCTATGAGGCTGCAAACAGCTGCTCCCACAATAGCAACTACTGTTGAACTGTCGTGTGTCTCAGCACCTGGAGTCAGCAACACTGTCACACACTTATCCCTTCCATGAAAGGTAGGAAACAAGGTTTGCAAGTGTGTGTTCAACTTCAAACCTCAGTGCCCAGCAGAGATTTGTATCAAAAGCATCATTTGAGTGTCTGAACCCAAGGCACGAAATAGATAAAAGAAAGGCATGCTGCTTCTGTAATGAAAGACTGGAACAGAATGGGTTTAGGCACCTTTGGAGTTTACCTGCAGAGTCATGAAGAGGCTCCCATGAGAAAACACCCAGAGGCAGGATTCACTGAGCCATTTCCACAGAATACAGACATAGGGTGGACGGAAAGGACAGCCTCTCCTACTAAAAATTTCAGATGCTCCATCGTCCCAGAGGCAGAGTGCAGTGACCAGGCACAGCAAGGGAGTGGAGAAGCAGGACAGCAAAACTCTCAGACCTCTTCAGACAGTCAAAATTTCACCACCACATCCCTGAGCATCTTTTAAAATCTAGGTTCATCCAGGACACACTCTGCCAGTCACAGAGATGCTATGCTCACACGGGACACTCTTCCCACCCTAAAACACTCTACATGAATCTTGGAACAGGCTTTACATATTTATATTTTCCATCATTGAGCAACATTTGCCCTATATTTCTTCTCTTTCACTGCTAACAAATGTGTGTCCTCACTCTCCCTGTCCCCGTGTGAACAGTTTTCTGAAGTAGATGCTGCTGCTCCAGTAGCACAAGGCCTTTAACTACCAGGTACCTCAGCAAGGCTTGAGTCATCTCTTCTCCTCTGCCCCCAAGTCACTCAGGGCAGCTTCCAGCTGTCTTCCCAAGAGCCAGCATGGCTATCTAACTGTTTGCTTGTGCAGAAAGTTCAGAGCCTCAGCATAAACTTAGAAGGGTATTTTCCTGATGAACTAGCTTCTCAGCAAAATCCTCACATCACAACAGGGAGCTGGCAGTATTTGCTGCCCGTTGCTGAAGATGAAGGTATACTCCAACAGTGCGAGGAATGAGAGGTCCAACTCCTGAACTTCCCTGCTCTCCAAGCCCCCTAACTTTGTAAAACTGACAGAAAGCTCAACTCTCTGGAAATGCTGGAATACTCACTTGGAATGGAATCTCATTTTCCATTTCTCACACGTTTAAGAAGCCTAGTGAGAAATAATTTGATGTAAACAAAATTCATTCTATGAGATCAAAAAATGACAAATGAGAATTGGTGAAGCATTGTTTTATGTTACTTCCCTTGCTTTTTTTCACACCACATATGGAAAAAAATCCTTAAATTTAAAATTATTATAGGCATTTCAAAAAAATAAGATAACATTTTAGAAAATTCCTCTTACCCCATTTGTCTTTCATAATTTAAAAGGGTACTTTCTAGAACCATAGTATACTGGTTCGTTTTTTAGAGGTATGCAACTTCAAGGCAATTGTTTTGGATTTCTTCAAATTACTGAAATGTTTATTTTCCACTGCTTCAATTTGTATCTTGCAGACTTCCTCCTGCCTATGACCAGTAGAAGCACAAAGGGTCATGCACATTCTGTACTATCCAGTTAAGTAAGTCCCTATTACTTGAATAACTCTCTGAAGAATAGCAGGCAGGTAAATAATGTAAGATTTTTCCAGTCTTTTAACAACCCCCATCTAGAATACGTACACACAGCTTTAAAAGAACATTGATTACACTATCCACCAGATGCTAAAGTAAGTTTTGTTTGCTTTTAAAGGAGTAAGAAAAGTATTTGTGGAAAAAACATACATTTTTTCTGACATTACATGAAAATAGTAATAATTATGCCTAACAGAACTAGCTACAATGAAAATAAAGCTGCCTGTTTAAAAACTGACAACCGATTGAAGCTTGTAATTTCAACCTTCATCAGTTGCTTTCTTGAGTGACTCATCAAATCAGTGTTACCTAAAAAGTCAATACTGAGAAAGAAGGTAAACCAATAAAAACTCCTTTCAGTCACACAATTGCTACCACTCTTGAGAACACAGTCAAGCGTTTTATTGTTTATACTCATTTTCATTTACACGTAAGAGGAACAATCAATGCAGTTCTATTACAGCAGGTGGACCATATCCTGAAACTCTGCTGAATACGCATAGACCTATCTTAAGGTCCAATCAGGAGGAAAAAAAAAAAGAAAAAAAAACCAAAACAAAACAAAAGAAAAACTAAAAAAAAACATAAGGGGGAAGTAGGGAGGCAAGAAATTTCACTAACATCAGTTAATTAATGATTCATGGGTATTTATTTTGCAGGTGAAATAGCTCTTCTGAAAGAGCAAACTGCTTCACTTCTTTACAAAATACATTAAATAATGTTAAGTACTTAGAGAATTCTAAATTTCGCAGTGGTTCATGCGGTAAGGGTGTGCAACTGACACAAAATGGAAAACATGGTTACAGCGTCAAACTGCTACTCCTATTCCCAGCTGGTTTATGGAAAAGGTCATTGGACTTCTTGATTTCTGCTCTTATGGAGCAAAAGCAAGAAGCAGTTCTTTTTTAAAGGCAACTATGAGGACAGACTACAGATATGCAGTGCAGTTGAACAGGTCTACAACTCTTGTTTCTAGAGCATTTGCATTTACTATTGTTTTGAAATACAAATATAAAACTTGTGCACACTGTCACTTCTCACGCATGTTCAGCCGAAGGAGTCATTTACAGAATTTACTGTGATGCTCCTATTTTAAATGTGAGTTTGTCTCCTCTTGGCTTCATGAGTGAAGGGAGCAACTCTTCCCACTGAAAGAAAGAAATTACAGGTGTGCAGAAGTACAACTATGCTACCAACACAGACAGAGACAGCTGTGCTCTTGTGCACACCCCTACAACCGGCCGGAGAAGAAATTAAGAAGTTAAGCCTGCAAAATAAATGGAGTTTACTCTCAAACTTTTTTTTTTTTCTTCATTCCAGATGAATTATAGACCTTGATTCGAGGCTGCCCTCTTTTTTTTTTTTTTTTTTTTTTTTTTTTTTTTCATTTTTTTTTTTTTTTTTTTCTTTTTTTTTTTTTGCAACTGATCTGCGTGCCTATTGGAACAGCATCTCTGCCAGAGTCATTACACTGAAACGCAGAGCTGAGCAGTTTGGTGGCAGAATGTATTGACGTTTTTGCAGCATCATGAGTCTGGCAACTGGGCTTGGGGAAGTTTCAAGCAGTGGGTCTTTACAATAGCAACTTGATTCTGCAGACAAAAAGCAAAAGATTGGCAGAATTATTAAAGTATCACAGTAAAGGCATGTATGCATTCTGCAGAAAGTGGCGCTGAGTTTAGCGATAAGCAGGCAGTCGCTGCCGTCAAGAGTTCGCGGAAAGGCAAAGCCCTTCCGCGTGTGAAGAGACACATCGAGGTGTCCAGCCTGCCACGGGGGCTGAGGGACAGCTTTTCCCTCGGGACGCCTGCTGGCAGCCGGCTCTGCTCCCGCAGGAGCAGCCGGAGCCGTGAGGAGGGCAGAAAGAAGTAGGGCTGGACTTTGTCAGTAGCCTTCATCTGGGGCCTATCCTACCTCGCCAAAAAAACCCGAAAACACCAACAAAAAACATCAAGCCGCTGGTTGCGGGGCCGCATGGAGTCCCTTCCAAGGGGGCTGCACGCCCAGCTGCCCAGCGGTGCCGGCAGCTGCCGGCGGGGCCGGGGGGCGGCACCGGGGGCGCCGCCGCGGGCGGGGACCGGCCCGGCGCTCTCCGCGGAGCTCGGCTGCGGGCTTGGAAAGCCAGTGCCGTTCCGCACTAACCGGCCGAAAAACGGGCATTAGCATACGAAATGGCGGCAGATTGGCTTAATAGGTGGAATTTAAAGCAGATTGCCGTGAGTCACTCCCTGCGATCTGGGGGGGGGGGGGGGGGGGGGGGGGGCACACACGACGCGCGCACACACAGATTGTGAAATGTCAGGAGCATCCCCAGCGCTCGCCGCCACTCGCGGAGGGTCTGAACACCAGCTCTTTGTGGGGTCGCACATCCCCCCCCGCTCCCCCATTTCCAACCCCCCGCCTCCCCCCGAGCACGGCGGCTCTCCGGGCAGGGCGGGGTACACGAACCTACCTGTGGCGCCGGGCGCAGGCGTGCATGGGGGCTGCCCCGGGGAGCACATCGCATTCAACATTTCAGCCTGTGCATCGGAAACGTATGAGTTTGTGGAAAGCTTGTTTGAAGTCTTCGTTAGACATAGTATAGATGACAGGGTTGATGAGGGAGTTGAGATATCCAAGCCACGTGAAAAAGTCAAAGATGGCCATGTGGAACCAGCAAGCGTCCTTGCAAATAGGCATCACCAAGCTGATGATGAAAAAGGGCAGCCAGCACACGATGAAGGCTCCTAAAATAATCCCTAAAGTCTTTGTAGCTTTCCGCTCTCTAGCGGCCGTCAGCTTCTTTTTCTCCAGCAGGGCGTCCGAGACCTTCACCTTCACCTGGTTCATGTACACGGGGGAGCCCGTTTCGCTGGATCCCTCGGGAGCCTTGGAGTTTATGGACGTGACGGAAGAGGTCGACCCCGGGGAGTCTGTAATTAACTGTGCCCGCGTTAGTCTTTTACCTGCTTTCTTTGGCGTCTGCTTCAAAATCCGCGACCTGGCTTCCACGTAGATCCTCCCGTAGAGGGCTATGAGCAGCAGAGTGGGGAAGTAGAAGGCTCCTACTGTGGAGTACACGGTGTACAGGACGTGGTCCGTGTTCACCACACAGTTAGATACTTCCTCGGCCTTCGCCTGCCGCCAAAACAAAGGGGGCATGGAGATGCAGATGGAGAAGATCCATACCAGTGCGATCATACCAGCTGCCCTCTTGGGAGTCCGTTTCGTGGAGTATTCGACGGCGTCGGTGATCGCCCAGTAGCGGTCCAGGGCGATGACACAGAGGTGCAGGATGGACGCCGTGCAACAGGTGATGTCCGAGGACAGCCAGATATCGCAGACGATCTGACCCAGCGTCCACCTGCCGGTCACAGTGTACATGGTGCTGATGGGCATGACAAGGATGGAGACGAGGAGGTCGGTAACAGCCAACGAGGCGATCAGATAGTTGGCCGGCGTGTGGAGTTTCCTCGTCTGGTAGACCGTGGCGATGACAAAAGCGTTGGAAAGCACCGTGGCCAGGGTGACCAGCGCCAGGACGACAGCGAGCACGATCTTCCCGGAGAGAGGGGTGGCATCTTGATAAATCACTTCCTCGGCGCTACAGTTTCGGTAAGAGTCGTTGGCGGAGCCCAACTGCGCCCGGCAGGGGCCGGCCGGCTCCATCCCTCCGCGGCCGCCGCCCCCGCAGACGGCGGGGCTCGGCGCGGCACGGCGGGGCCGCTACCCCGGCAAGACCCCGTCGGCGCCGGGGGAGGGCTGCAGCATCGCCGCGCCGGCACCACCTCCCCGACCGCCTGCCCGCCCTTCCGGGAGCTCCGAGCGGGCTCCGCGGAGCCTCACTCCCCACGGGCGAGGGAGCAGGGCAAACCGGGGGCCAGGCGCGCCCGCTCGCCCCGGCAGCTCATCGCCCCGCCGCCGGCCCGCGGAGCGCGGCGAGCCCCGGACATGGGGCTCCCGCCCCGGCCGCCCCTAAGCGCAGCCCCACCGCCCGCGGCTCCACACCGTGTCTCGACGGGCGCGGTGGCAGCGCCGCATGCCCGCGGGCGGCGGCCTCGCCCCCCGGGCTGCGGGCGCGACGACGGGGGCTGCGGAGCAGCGGAGCCGCCCCGCCGGGCCGTGCCTTCACACGCAGCCCGCCGCAGCAAGTTTGCAGCCGCCGCCGCGGGTGCGGGAGGAGCAGCAGGAGGAAGAGGAGGGTCCGCGGGAGGCAGGGGGAGAGACCACCTCCCATTGCGCCCCGCCGCGGGCCATGCTGTCGAGGCCCGGCCTCCGCCCAGCCCTGGCAGCCGCGGGCAGGAGCCGATGTGAGTGAGCAGCGAGCAGCCGCCGCCCCTTATATAGCGGGCGGCGCGGCTCCGCCGGCACCGAGCAACCGGTGCCGCTGTCGGGCGGGCTGCCCGCCCGCCTGCCCGCGGAGGAGGAGCCGCCGCCGCCTCCCCTGGCCCTCCCTCCGGCACCCACGAGCCGCCCGACGGGGGGGGCTCAGCCCGCTCCGGCCCCGCGCACCGCCCCACCGCCGGCCCCCCGCCTGGCCCCTGCAGGCGTCGGGAGGAGCCCGAGCTCGTCCCCCGCCCAGCCGAGGAGCAGCCCCTCCTCTTCCAGCCCGACGAGGGCTGCCACGGTGCGGGCGGATGCGGGAGCTACTTGGTCCTGCCGTTGTTCCCATCTTATCTTGAACCGTGCCCGCTACGCCGTGGGGCTGGGCGATGCCAGGCTCCCAAGGGAGCCCGGCGGGGCCGGGGTATGCTGCCCTCCGCCACGTCCCTCGGCGGCGTTACGAGTGCCGCTCGGTGCCGGAGCTGGCCGTGCGGGAAGGGCCGGAGCGAGGGAGATGGTGCGGGACGGGGGCGCTGCCGGAGCGGGCAGGCACCTCGGGACCGCCCGCCCTGAGCGCCGGGCGAGGGGCTGCGCAGCGCCGCAAGCCCCGCTGCAGTAGAGGTGCGCGGCCCACCGAATCACATCGCGTGCTTTACACTTCTAGTAATCCCGTGTCTTCTGGGCTTAGGCTTTCTAATCCATTTTTCTCTTTTATATTCTTTTTTCCTTTGTTTTTCTGGTGCGGTTGGAGGGGCACGCCCGCGCTTGAGCAGCCTTGATGTGCCCCACAGGCTCTTCCATTGCTCGGCAGGCGGGGACAGGAGCAGCGGGAGCACACGTTTGTCCAGGTCCCGCAGCTCCTGCCAGCGTTTGTTCTCAGCAGCCGCAGGAAAGTTTTGCACACAGAGGGAGTGCGAGCTTGCTTTTTGCTGGGTCAGGATAATTCCAAGCTCGGTGAAATGCCTATGCTCCAACCCCACTAAATCTCCCGAAATACCACAACAAAGTTGAGACAAGCATTTTCAATCTGCAAGCATGTTTGTGCACATCTCCACGCACATATCCATGTCTAAGCTAGCTGTAAACTCTCAGCAGTTCCCTCTTGGTTATCTCCTCCTGGCTGTTCTCCTCTGTGATGAGAAAGCCATCAGTTTCCGTGTGGCCCCGTCCTTCCTGGGCTATGCTCAGCACCACACAGGGGCAGGCACTGCAGTGTTCTGCCTGGGACGTCGAGCTCATGGACAGAGTGAGAAACCACTGCAAAAAAAAAAAAAAAAAAAAAAAAAAAAAAAAAAAAAAAAAAAAAAAAAAAAAAAAAAAAAAAACCACAAACAGTGGTGGTGCTTGAGATTTTGTAAAATCTGTCCTAGATCTTTAGTTAGACTCTCAAGAAATGAGGTAGGGGAAGATGGGATTAAAGTGTGGCAGTCAAGGATTGCCTACATTTACATTTACAGAACTGACAGGAAGACAAAATGGCAATGTGGCTTTCTGTTTTCCCAAAAGGGCATGGAGATAGGGTTTGGTTTGTTTCCATGTTTTTATTTTGTGGTGCTTCCTTGTGTTCAAGAAAGCACCACCTCCTTTTGGTGCCTGGTAATTGGTTGGAGTCTCTAGACTTTACTGCGTTAAAAACAATAATACAGAGCTGTCTGCATTCTTCTGATCTCTTTGATGGGCAGAGATTTTATAATCCTGGCTCCTAATACAGTGTGATATTGCTTTCACTTCTGCTCAGCATTTCTGGCTTAATTTGGTTGTGCTTAAGTTGGCAACTGCCCTCAAGCCTCTGTTGCTCAACATTCTTCCCAAATAGGGTTACATATCAGAGAGGAATTTAAATTTAAAATACCAATAATAACAAGAGGAAAACCTAGCCCTTCATTCAGTTTTGGAATAGCTTGCCTCTTGTGCAAAGGCTGTTCTGATAAAATTATAGAGCCTCCAAGGGCAATGTTCTAGATCTAGCCACTGCCATCAGCCACAGTGTATAGTGTAGACAAGTGTTATGTGAATGGGTAATAAATTCTGGCCACCCTATTAATGTCACTGTTTATCCTCATTTTAAAATATTTGTGTTCTGTGCAAAGCTTTTGCTGTTGCCCTTCTCCATTAATTCTGGGTCATTATTCATCAGTAATTATTGTTCATTGCTTCCCTCCTTGTCTTGCCAAGAAGATGATTTTTTTTCCTTCCTCATTCGTTTTCTTCCATTGTGCTTGCTGGTTTCTCACTCATTTCTGTAGCACTGCTGCAAGTTGTCAGCAAAATGTTCACCCGGCGTGACAGGTCTAGCTGTGGTGACCTCGGCTCATCTGACTTCCCATAAGGACCACCTGGTCTTCCTGGGCAGGCTCAGTAAGTATTCCCCATGCTTCTCTCTGAGGCTTCAGAGTTGGGTTATGAAGAGCTGCAGGAAGAGAGTAAAGCCAGCTTCGTAACAGCGGTCCGTGTCATGGTGCTGCACGTCACTGCTGGAGGGGCATGCCAAAAACATGTCCTCACCCAGGCACTGGAACTGCTGCTTCCTTCAGGCTGTGCATGCTGCTTCCATGATTTGTGTCACAACAAGGGGTGCTCAGGCTTTAGAAGACCGCTCTTCCTCTCTGCTCTGCCAGGCTGCACATAGTCCCCTGTCACAACTGGACTTCCAAGGGCCAAGGCTTGAAGAAAGCACCAGATTCTACCTGGATCATCAATAAGTACTGGAGTCTTGGAGTGCCAGTCAGACACGTATTGTGTATCATATGTATTGTCACGTGAATGATTATATCTCACTACTGGGCTGTCGCCCAGAAGCTTGCATTTCATTGTTTATTTTCTCCTCTCCTAACTGGATCTGAAAAGATGCTTATGAGAAGAGATCTTATTTCCTGAAGCTTTTGGCTTCTGTGCAGAAGCAGGCATAAAATTAATTTCTTTCTGCTGCCATAAGACTGTTAATACTTCTTATATCCAGATTCTGATGTACTAAAATACGCAAATATAGAAACTGCAATGAAAACTGAGACTATTATTGGTTTATTGCTTCACAGACTGCCCATGCATGGCGTAAATATCTTATAAATAAATTAGAGGGAGAAGACAGACGCATAGAAACAAACCTAAGTGCAGAAAAGAAAATTCCTCATTGTACAGTCAGATCTGTCCTGGCCACAGATAATGTCGTGTGGGTTTTAGCTCTTGTATCTTAGGTATATTTGAACATGGAGCTCAGTGCACAATATAAACTTCACCTCTGCTCTTGACTTAGTTGGTAAGGTGTGTGTAATGGCATCTGTAGCCTCCTGCACTGTGATGAGATTCATACTCGTATTTAAAATAATGAAATTCTGATTCCTTCTGTTAGCAAAGATAACCTTTGCTATGTGAATCAACACAGTGGTATTTTGTTGAGTTTGCCAACAGGCAAATAACACTAAAGTCTGTGTGAAGTTTCTCAGTGTTAACTTTGAAATACAGCTAAGACCATTTAAATGCCATCACTTTTAAGTCACTAGTCAAAATAAAATCATTCAGCTTGAGTTACTGAAATTTAATTATAAGGGACAGCTGGGCCTAGTTTTGATTTTTACTCTAAGGATCCAGACAAAGAAACAAGCACGTTGGCTCAGGAGGCATAAATACGCACTGAGTTTTTCAACCCATATTGGTCAGGCAGAGTTGCTGAAAAATGCACTCAGATGCCCTCCAAAGCTCATTCAATTACCCTGAGTAGGCAACTGAGGTTAAGCAAAAACAACTCCTCCAGTCCTCCCTTACAGTGTCTCTATCTAGCAGTTAATGTCCTTTCATTGCACTGATCCTCACACATTTCAGTTCATGGAGGTAGAAGTTGATTTGGTGTCTGTTCCTCATTCATATACAAGGAATTAGATTTTTAACTATGTTCCTGGAGATACTGTACAGGAAACCACTTAAATCCTGCCCCATCTCCTCTCCTTGAACACTGGGCATAATTCTTCTGCTTTGTCACAAATCAGAAGAATTGACTACTAGTGTTAAAAGGGCTGCTGGAGCCTGTAATTCACACTAAAATCAGTGCAAAAGCCTGTTTTGGTGCCAGAGGATCTGGCTCAGTGATCATCCCTCCAGTTCAAGCTGTCTCCTGTTATATACCTGAAGGGATTTTTACCTATCTGCTATACTATGGGTGGATTATAACCTGCTATAAAATTCATTCATATCCATTGGGGAATGATCTGTGGAAAATAGCCATGACAGTATGACATAAAGGTACAGCTGTCTAGGAATAAAAGTCAATGGCATAACCTTTAGCACCTGTTCAGCATTAAGGGAAAGTACAATGCATTTATGCTTTGTAGGGATTCAGATGAAAAAAGGTCTAATTTTCTTATCTGCTCAGATCTGTCAGAAGATAAATTCTCTGCTTTCAGATATGGACCTATATCAGTTTTAAAGCACTGTCCCACTTTAGTATGTTCCAGTCTTTCTCTCTGATTTAGAGGCTGGAATCTCTAAAGGTCTCCTTTCGGAATCCAGAGTTTACTTCAAAGGGGTCTTAAATATCAAGTTTTCAGAAATAAAACACTGAGTTTTGTGTTAAAAAAAAAAAAAAGTCTGCAGACATTTTAAAGCAACAAGCTACTAATGCAGAAATCTTGATGAAAACTTGTGCAATGCAGTGAATCACTGCAAAGTAAAACTGCTGAAAATTAGGAATCAAGTCTTTTTTTTGTGAAATTATCACGTCAACATTGATTTAAGGGGAGCTACAAAGATTTCTTCCTATTAGAGATCTGTTTCTTCTGCATGGCTAATTAATATTTATCTAGGAAAGAAGGTAACATATGCTAAGCCCACTGCCACTATTTATAAGCATGCTCTAGTCTTTG